TACAAAGGTTCATTTCCAAGGATTACAAAATTGTGATCCTAGAAATGTCAGACCGAGAGGTCAGATGGGACAGTTTAGGAGCAACACAAGGGGAGATGTTTCACCCCAAGCCCCTCTCTTTATTCCCTTTGCACAGCCTGCCATGAAATAGCCCCTCAAATGGCAAAATCAACAACAATAGGGCTGCCCAGAAGGTGTTCCCCTCATGCTCCCCCAGCCCTCTTCTGAATACGCTAAACAAGGATCTTTATCTCTTTTGGTAGGAGGTGTGATGTTATCTTTTGGAACTGACATGGGAATTACCCATTCGTGTTTAAGGCAGAGTATTACAAGGGTGCTGTACTGGAGTGTGAACTTTCTATCTAACCAAGACATGGGAAACTCTACCATTAGAGGTGAGCAACCCCTATAGATGAGGGGTTGTAAATCACTCTTTTAAGGTCATTACGAATTGTCCAGTGAATTTGTTATGCAGAGATATATTGGGAAAATTAGAAAGTGTCATTACAGTAAGCTCTGAAGGAGGTAGTAAGCTGTACACAAACCCCGTACTATTGCTGTTATCAAATGTAAAGCCCACACATCTTCACATAACCCCATAGCTCTGGGTAATGTATTCGCTGACCTCATGGCCAGGGAAGCTGCCTTGTAGCCTTTACAGGAATTTGCCAGTCTTGTTTTGACTATGTTAGAGCCGCCCATGCTCCCAGAACAACAGCTGCTCAAAGAATTACAGTATACAGCCACTAAGAAGGATGTTCAATATTGGAAAGTCAAAGGTTTGACATTGGACCAGAACGGTCTAATGTCCAAAGAGGAGATCATACAAAAAAAGAGAAGAAAAGGGTTTTCCTGATCAGTAGCCAACATCCCCAGAATTACAAGATAAATAAAGGGAAAATACCCCCTATAGGACTTTGAAGGCATATATATATACCGAAAAAAGTTGTATAAAAAGTACAAGTTTTTTATTGTGTCAAAAAATTATTTTAACATATAGACATACCATACAATACATCATCCAAAGTCATAATACAGCATCACCATCAAAGTATAAATTGCATGATAAGGATACCCAATATGACTATTAGAGATGAGCGAATTATTCAAAAATTCGATTCGGCCGATTCGCCAAATTTGCGGGAGAAATTCGATTCGATGCGAATTTATTCGCCGCGAATTTAACTTATTTAAAGGGTTTCTAGGCTTCAGAGAGCCTTTATATTAGTGCAGAACACTGTACCTTTAATTTAAATGCCCTTGGAGTCTGCTGGGGAAGATAAATAATACTGTCAGTCAGTATGACATGCAGATGAGTGCCGTCGATCTTAGAATCACCGCACACTTCACCATTTGGGCAGTCACGGGGCACGACGAAGAAGAAGAAGAAGAATGAAAAGAAGAAGAAGAAGAATGAAAAGAAGAATTAAAAGAAGAATGAAAAGAAGAAGAGAATGAAAAGAAGAAGAAGAAGAATGAAAAGAAGAAGAAGAAGAATGAAAAGAAGAATGAAAAGAAGAAGAAGAAGAATGAAAAGAAGAAGAAGAAGAATGAAAAAAAGAATGACAAGAAGAAGAAATGAATGAAAAGAAGAAGAATGAAAAGAAGAATGAAAAGAAGAAGAATGAAAAGAAGAAGAAGAATAATGAAAAGAAGAATGAAAAGAAGAAGAAGAAGAATGAAAAGATGAAGAAGAATGAAAAAGAAGAAGAAGAAGAAGAATGAAAAGAAGAAGAAGAAGAATGAAAAGAAGAATGAAAAGAAGAAGAATGAAAAGAAGAAGAAGAAGAAGAAGAAGAATGAAAAGAAGAATGAAAAGAAGAAGAAGAATGAAAAGAAGAAGAATTAAAAGAAGAAGAAGAAGAATGAAAAGAAGAATGAGAAGAAGAATGAAAAGAAGAATGAAAAGAAGAATGAGAAGAATGAAAAGAAGAATGAAAAGAAGAAGAAGAAGAATGAAAAGAAGAAGAAGAAGAATGAAAAGAAGAATGAGAAGAAGAATGAAAAGAAGAATGAGAAGAATGAAAAGAAGAATGAAAAGAAGAAGAAGAAGAAGAATGAAAAGAAGAAGAAGAAGAATGAAAAAGAAGAATGAAAAGAAGAAGAAGACTGAAAAGAAGAAGAATGAAAAGAAGAATGAAAGAAGAAGAAGAAGAAGAATGAAAAGAAGAAGAAGAAGAATGAAAAGAAGAATGAAAAAGAAGAAGAAGAAGAATGAAAAGAAGAAGAAGAAGAATGAAAAGAAGAATGAAAAGAAGAAGAAGAAGAATGAAAAGAAGAAGAAGAAGAATGAAAAGAAGAAGAAGAAGAATGAAAAGAAGAATGAAAAGAAGAAGAATGAAAAGAAGAAGAAGAAGAATGAAAAGAAGAATGAAAAGAAGAAGAAGAAGAATGAAAAGAAGAAGAATGAAAAGAAGAATGAAAAGAAGAAGAATGAAAAGAAGAAGAAGAAGAAGAATGAAAAGAAGAATGAAAAGAAGAGGAAGAAGAAGAAGAAGAATGAAAAGAAGAAGAAGAATGAAAAGAAGAAGTATTCCAGTACAGCAAAAAGTGTATCTGCAGAGAGCTCCGCTATTTCTGACAGTTCTCTGACAGTTCCTTCACATTTACAGCGGTTGAAACATTGTATCTATTTATTTCCGAATAAAAACATCTGTATCCTAAAATGGAAACAAATAGGTACAATGTTTCAAACCGCTGTAAATGAACTGTCAGAACTGTCAGAAATAGCGGAGCTCTCTGAGTGACACTTTTGCCGGCTGATCGGGAAAAATTTGATTCGTGCACCCGAAGTTTGCTAAAATTCGGATTCGATGCGAATCGAATTTTTCCTGAAATTCGAAACGAATTCCACTTCGCCAGGTTCGATTCGCTCATCTCTAATGACTATGTCTGACTAGCCATTAAAAATGTTGTAACATCACCATCCATACATATGATTACAGAGATAGTTTCTATATGAACCAACGTGTTTCGGAGTGACTTCACTCCTTCTTCAGGGAAAAGAAGAACTCTGCATATGGGTGACAACATCTACAAGATTGAACATATATTTGCTTGGAACATTTCTTGTATCCATTACAATATTTTACAATTTACAGTCTGTAGATATACTCACAATACATGAAAGTGCAGAAAAAATTGTTGAGTTTTCAACCCATTTAAAAGACATGGTAATTCAAAATGCTGCCTCCTCATATGGTTGGAAGACCAGCTGAACCCAGACGTAACGGAAACCCTCCAGCCACAGATCACAAGGGCACACCACAGGTCACTGCAATAAATAGCTATGCAAATAAATAGGAACACATTATGTGTCATACACTGGTACCATAATGGTCTCATAGACTAGAAACCCACCATTAAGTGTGTAAACATCCAGGTCATTTCACGCCTCCTCCTCATTATACCTGATAGATTATACCCTATAGACACAATGGAAACCCGCCAGGCATGAATCAAAAGGGCACACCACTGCAGTAAATAGCTATGCAAATAAGTCAACAGTAGGAACACATTTTGTGTCATACACTGGTACCATAATGGTCTTATAGAATAGAAACCCACCATTAAGTGTGTAAACATCCAGGTCTTTTCACACCCCCTCCTCCTTCTACCCAATAGATTAGGGGATATGGTATAGGACTTCAAAGACAGTTATTCCCACTTCGACCGTCTACCCCTTTTAGTAATGGTGTCATTAGGAACAATGTATGAATACATATGTCCATATGACTGCATATAAAAAAGGGGCCCTTAATGCCCAATAGTTTTTTATTTTTTGCCAAGAGGAAAGAGGAAGGAAGGCTTACCAAAAGGTGGATATAATGCTCCCCAGTATATGCGGCGCAACCCTCTGAGGTTTCAGGACCATATACACCGGCTCATAGAAGGGGGATTATCAAAGGGGTGAAAAATACCTCCCTATTATATAGGGATCTTAATAAAGCAGTGATTGGAAACATCCACCACCAAGATGGCAGCTAAATGCCAGACCCACACTGTCCCAATGTGGACGTTGCTGGGGACCACCTCCCGGAACGCTGATTGCCCCACCTATATTGCGGAATGACGTCACGCATCAGTGGACAGCCAGCACGCCGAGAAGCGGCCGACCGGATACAGATGCAGGACATAGCCGCACCACTGCATCCACACGTGGCCTCACAGAGCTTCAAACATCAAATTGGACCTGTGCTGTAGCCCCAATGTTCCGGGGGACCGAACCAAAGGGGGCCACCTGCCCAGGTTCAAGACCAGCCAGCCCCCCGAACCAGGAGGCACAACAGCAAAATCATCCACATATATATATTGAAGTCATATGCAATGTACAAAGTAAATCAAGACAATACAAACATTAATAAATGATAATGATAATATAGATAGCACAGGCCGAGAGAGATTTAAGGATATCAAATGAAGAGAATATACAACACATATATTGGGCATAAGTATAGCATCACACCAATTAGATTAAAATGGGAAATATTTGTCGTAACATCATAAGTGGCCATTATCAATAGGCGGCTAGGAGAGACACATGGTGGGAATTATTTTTCCATACCACCAGAGGTAAACCCTTGCAAAAAGGGCCTAAAATTGACTGATTCATTTAGACCAGGGGGGAAGTAGTTTGTTCCAATTACCCCCTCATTAACCTGGGTGTACCCAGTCAAGGATGAGAAATTTGACTTTAGGGAATTGTCCATTATGTACACTAAGGACATGGTGTCCCAATGGTAACTCAGGATCACCCACCCACATGCTTTTAATGTGTCCATATGCTCGTCTCCAGAATTTCAACCTAGTCTTACCCACATAAAAACAGCCACATTCACAGAGTAATAGATATATCACCCCAGCAGTTTGACAAATAGCAAAGTGTTTGAATTTGAACACAGCCCCATTCGATAATTTAGATTGTACTTCCGTATACAAATATTTATACTTCGTGTAATACGATCTTTAATGGACGTGGCCAGGGGCGGACTGACAACTCATGGGGCCCCCGGGCAATAGGGGATCATGGGGCCCCTGTGTCCTTGCCCAAACTCAAAAAAGCCTATAAAAAAGGTACCAGGGGCATCTCATGGGGCCAACCAAGAGATTTGTGAAAAGAGATTCACAAGAAAGTGGCTACATTATGGACAGAATGCGATACTCGGAAAAATTTCCAAAAAATTATGCTTTATTTCACATTAATGATTGACAATAGGGCAATCACCCTGGTTTACCATCACCTCAGTATGAGACAATACACACAGACCTAAAACCATTTAAAATCACACCAAGACCGGTCTGGATATATATGTGCTGCAAAGGCAGTGACAAACTTAGTCTAGAGCATTTGCAGCACCGCACATAGGTTACACTCAGATTGGTCCTGACAAAGCTGAGTGAGATACGCCCATCGGCGGTACTCGTCACTTCCGGTCATGCGCATTGGCATTATGCACGCCGACCTACAAGGAGGTGGCCATTTTCACATGCCATGAGTCATGCAAAGCTGTACAGGCGCCATGGAGAGGATGGAACCCGCGAAATGTCGGCTGATGTAAGCGGCTGTTCCCTGGATCAATACGGCAGTACATGTGAAGGATATTTCCATTTTTTACTACCCATGGCACAGGTGGTGAGTGGACTGTTACAAGAATAATGAAGAAGGCTTCTTGTTACTTATTATATTCATCAGAGTGAGAGTACCCAGAGTGACTGTCCTTATATTATTTGTCTTATTTCAGGATGGGGACATTATGATGCATTACCTAGATGCAAGGCATACAGCATATATTGCAACAAACGGAAGACCTATTGGGCCTCATTATATTACCTATATCAAAGTGGTTTATAGTCCACACGCTGTGGTGAAGAAACCATATAAAGCAGGGCTCTGCTATCTACATTTATTATTCCATCAAAACATCAACAGGGACTCTTTCATCTATAAGAATTTTTGCAACTATTTTTCGTCTACCAAGGGTAGATGGGCCCCAACCACATGTGCCTTAATAGGGTTGTACTGCATGAATCCATATTCATATCATTGGGGTATATCCCCTCTCTTTATGCAATTTTTTACCCATATCGCCTTGAATAGGCTAAGGGTTATGTTTCTCTCTACATGGTAACTGTATTAGCTAATATGCATAGCATGTGATAAATATATTATATACCTATGGTACAATTTTTTTGAAAAAAAACCTCCTACAGGGAGTGTAACCTATGTGCGGTGCTGCAAATGCTCTAGACTAAGTTTGTCACTGCCTTTGCAGCACATATATATCCAGACCGGTCTTGGTGTGATTTTAAATGGTTTTAGGTCTGTGTGTATTGTCTCATACTGAGGTGATGGTAAACCAGGGCGATTGCCCTATTGTCAATCATTAATGTGTAATAAAGCATCATTTTTTGGAAATGTTTCCGAGTATCGCATTCTGTCCATAATGTAGCCGCTTTCTTGTGAATCTCTTTTCACAAATCTCTTTGTTGGTCTGCATATTTTTTGGCTACTGGATGGAAGCCATATATTGGGTGATACAGTAATTCATATTTGAACCTCTAAACTTATTCTTTACTAACTGCATCTCATGGGGCCCCCCCACTTACCCCAGGCCCTCGGGCAGTGCCCAAGTTTCCAAATGGTCAGTCCTCACCTGGATGTGGCCCTCCTAAATGTAATCTGGGGAGTGGGGTATACAAATTTTCCTATTGAAGGATCTATGGTTAATAGATGCCAATATTTTTTGATGACATCTCTGATTTGATTATGCTGGTTAGAGAATTTCATAATGATTCTTGTCTGATCATCTGATACTTTCTTTTTGTGATTTTTATACAGGAGATCATTTCTAATATTATTACAAACACGTTTATAGACTTTCTTTAAGCAGGACTTAGTTTATCCTCTCTCCAATAGTCTGTCACTTAATGCATCTGCCTCCTCTTTGAAGGTTTGCTCATCAGAGCAATTTCTTTTTATCCTTAGATATTGACTATAGGGGATAGATTAAATCAATGCCTTGGGGTGAAAGCTCGAAGCATGCAATATAGTATTGCCAGCTGTGGGTTTCCGATACAATCTGCTAGCCAAACTTATTCACCAGAATACTGACTTCTAGGAAGGTAACTTCCTTTTTGTTGTAAGTCATAGTGAATGTGAAATTAAATTTATTTTTGTTAATTCTCTCCAGACAGCCACTCAGTAAATTTTCAGGACCATCCCATACCATGAGGATGTCATCCATGAACCGGCTCCACATGCTAATGTGGTCTGTATATATCGATAAGTCCTCATCGACTTGGAACATCTGTTCCCACTCCCCTAGGTACAGGTTGCAGTACGATGAGGCACAAGAAGTCCCCATCACCACGACCTGTACCCAGAGGTAGTGGGAACCATTGAACATGAATACATTATACTGGAGAATAAAGTCTAGTGCTGAAACAATAAATTTGTTATAGTCTCATTCTTGGTACTTCCTCTGTGTTAGAATGTGTTGAATGGCTGCTACTCCCCTACTATGGGGAATGGAGCTATATAATGCTTCTATATCTTTGATGACAAGGAAGGCCCCTTCAGGTATGTGTAAGTTGTCAAGAATTCTCAAAGATGTATAGCATCATTCACATATGAAGGATGACTTGCTAAGTGGGGTCCAAGATGTTCATCTATTAATTGGCTTAGATTTTCAGTTAAGCTTCATTGCCAGATATAATCAGCCTACCTGAGGGGTTGTCTATTCTCTTGTGAATTTCTGGGAGAGAATAAAAAGTTGGAATCCTTGGGAAAGCTAGTTCTAACAAAATCTCATGTAGTTTTAGTGATGATGCCATTTAGGAAGGCAGTATCAACCAACTCATAGAATTGGCTGTTGAATTTGTCAATCACATCTGTTGAAATTCGGCATACCAGTCGGTATTGGAGAGGATCTTATATACACATATTGACATATTGCTCATTGTTCATTATGACAATGTTACCTCCCTTGTCAGAGGGTTTAATAACAGGGGAGGTATTGGCCGCTAGACATTTCAAAGCTTGTTGTTTGCTCAGATTTAGATTGTTGTTCTTTTTTTGATTGACTCTTCATTTTTTTTTTTCGATTTCTCCACACACCAATTTGAGAAAAGCAGCCATATATGAACTGGTGCTTGGAGGAGGGAAAAAAAATCTGATTTCTTCTTTAACATAGAGGTATATGTGGAGGATTTTAGCTCATCTGAGTCTATTTGTTAGAAGAGTTGAGTGATGTTAATGTGATCAATCAAATCTGATGGAGCACTTTCTTCCAGTAATGACAAGAAATCCTCCAAAAAATTTTGGTCCTCTCTATTCAAGGGCGTATTCTGAGATTTATCATAAATACTTTTTAAGATCGAATTTTGTGCAAAAAAGTTGTAAATCCTTAATTGCTGAGAATTTATCCAGATTTTCTACCAGGCAAAAACGTAGACCTTTAGCTAGGACATTTTTTTCTTCAGTGGACAAAGGATAAGTAGACATAATCACAATGTTTAAACCTACTTCTCTGTTGTTTTTTTCATGTATGTTTCTGTGTCCCTTGTTTGCATTGGGAAGATTAGAAGTTTGTGCTAAAAAATTAGAATTATTTAATTGCATATGTGAAGTCATACTTGGCTCTATAGGGTTACCCCTATCCCCATCAGAGGCTAAGACATCACCTGACGTCTCATCTAGGGAGGAGGAAGAGGAATATATACCTCCACCCTGTAGGTTATCTGGTGTCATTGTAGTGGGACACCCTGGTGTAGACTTATTTATTTCCGAAATTTGGTCTAAAAATGTTTTTTTTTAAAATGTCCTTGTGGTCCGCTGTCATGTCGATGTCTTTATAATTGCCATGTGTTATTATGCTTAGTAGAAGCCTGTGAAGGGACAGAGTTAACTGATGAAAAGGATGATTGGGAAACATTTAGCGGATGATCATGTACAGAGGGCATGTGCCTATATTGTGTCTTATATTTGTTACATTCGTGATTCCACTTGTAGGCTTTACCCTCTTGGAAATCTATTTTATCTCGTGCAAATTTTTTTTCCTTCTTAATCAAAATATTTTTGTTGAATTTTTCCAAACGTTCGTAGATTCCTATCCCATTCACCATAGGATGGCTGAATTTTGAGATGTGAAAGTTGTGTATTCAGACGGTCTAGGTCCTTGTCTAGAGCCCCAATCTGGTTTTTATACCCAGCAATCAATAGATTCATCATACCTCTAGAGCACTGTTTCAAAATCTTTTCCCATTTTTTTTTTTAAATTAGAGTCCAATTTTTTCAAGGTAGGAAAAATATGGACCTTGAGGGCAAAAGGATTAATATCTTCCTGGATATAACCTTCAAAGACCGAACATGCCAGAACAACAATGATTTCCTCTCCAGAATTTTAAGATTAAAAAATAGACAATTCAATTCTGCATCAACTAGTTCTTTTTGCCCAAAATCTGTGTAATATCCCTTCATAAGGTTGTCCCATTCTCGGCCCTGAAATTCTGCCATATTGGCAATCAAAAAATGAAAATTGTGTTTCTCAGGAAAAATTAGAGGGGATCATAGGGATACCTCATTACAGTGCACCGGAGCTTATTGCACAGTTTCATAGCATAGGGCAGAGAGGATGGCAGATGACTTTGCAGGAAATGAAAAAGCGTTTTTGTATGTATCTCTTTCTTTTCTGCTTCCCTCACAGGAACCAACACACCCTTTCAAGCCTGGAGACCACATGGTTATTAAAGCCCTATATAAGCACAAGGTCCTGGACCCATCTTATGGGGAGCCTACAGTGATAACAGCTGTGACATGTACAGCAGTTCTGACTGCGGAATCTCAGGCCTGGATCTATGCATCAAGGGTAAAGAAAGTCCCAGATTTTCCTCCACTTGAGGTGTTGACTACAGACAAAGAGGGTGAAGAAGGTGTCGAACACCCTGAAGCATACGTGTTAGAAAGAGAAGCAGGTGAGATAGTTCCACTGGAAGACAGACAGACTGAGACTAATCAAGATGTCCATACTTTTGCATTCACAAACTATGACTAGTATAAAAATGTTGAATGTTAC